GCCCGGGCCCCAACAGCGACGTGCGCTACCGCCTGCTGCTCCAGGAGCCGCCCGTGCCCGCGCTCCGCCTGGACGCGCGCACCGGGGCGCTCAGCGCTCCGCACGGCCTTGACCGCGAGACCACACCGTCGCTCCTGCTGCTCGTGGAAGCCGCCGACCGGCCCACCAACGCCAGCCGCCGGCGCGCGGCGCGCGTGTCCGCGCGCGTGTTCGTCACGGACCAGAACGACAACGCGCCCGTGTTCGCTTCGCCCGCACGGGTGCGCCTCCCGGAGGATCAGCCGCCTGGGCCCGCGGCGCTGCACGTGGTAGCCCGGGACCCGGACTTGGGTGAGGCTGCACGAGTGACCTATCGCCTGGCAGCTGGCGGGGATGGCCACTTCCGGCTACATTCCAGCACTGGTGAGAACTGAGATGGGGGTGCAGGGTGAGAGCCCCGTGGGAGGGGGGGTGTAGTGTCTGATATGGAGGGCTTGTGGAAGTTTCCGTCCAACCAGTCTGCCTTCATCTAGGAGCTCTGTCCGTGGTGCGCCCCCTGGACCGCGAGCAGCGAGCGGAACACATCCTGACGGTGGTGGCCGCAGACCACGGCTCCCCACCACGCACAGCCACGCAGCTCTTGACTGTCAGTGTGGCTGATGTCAACGACGAGGCGCCCACTTTCCAGCAGCAGGAATACAGGGTCGTCTTACGCGAGAATAGCCCACCTGGCACGTCTCTGCTCACGCTGAGGGCAACCGACCCAGACTTGGGTAAGACCTGGGCCGCGATGAATTGAGAACAGGATGTTCCAGGGCTGTAAGCATCCTCTGATCTTCCTCCATGCTGTCCGTCCTCAGGGCCCAATGGCCAGGTGACTTATGGAGGTGTGTCAGGTGAGAGCTTCTTCCTGGACCCAGACACTGGTGTTCTCAGGACTCTTCGGGTCCTGGACCGCGAGGAGCAGGAAGAAATCAACCTGACAGGTATGGATTGATAGGACCACAAGGGCGGGAAATATTGTAAGCACCAGAGTTATGTGGGCAAAACCCCAAAGGACTGCATTTCTAGAGGCTTCTGCCCGATACAACACAGCCGCTGTTCGGTTTTGCACCCATTTGGAGAGTCAAGCGGTTTGTTCTTGGCTACTAACTGCGAGGTGGGATGTTTAAGCCCACTGAGCAGTGCCGTGAAATCAAGGCCTGTTGATCTCCTTCTGTAAGGACTGTAGCCAAGGGAACAGTGGAGCTCAGTTCCTTCCTTAAACGCAAAAGCCAGGATCCATGACAGTGTCTTCTGTTGGTTTGGGGAGTCAAGAGTTTGGCAGAGTGCAAGATGAACTGGCTTCAAGGTAGTTAGCCCTGTGGCCACACGCGCCTCTCCAGCGCATAATGTCACAGTGTCCCAGCTATCCCCCTGCGAGATTCCCTCAGATTATATTGAGTGTCAGAGAAGCTAAGCAACTTGCTCAAGCAAACACATCCTGGAAGTGACAGGTCTGGAGTGTCAACTCAGATCTTTTGGTACCTTAGTCAGTGCCTTGCCTGTCACACCATTAGTCCAAGATTCTGGGTCTGCACCAAGCAGGTGAGGGTGAGATGGGAAAGAACGTTTTCTGATGCATGTGTTCATGTTTGTAGAAACCCTGTGTGCCTGAAAAGGGGAGGAGGTAGTGTCCAGTCTGTGTGTGTACGTTGTGAACACGTGTGCACACTCTGCAGTTGGGGTATCATCCTGGGGTGGAAGCAGGCTCAATCTCATTGACTTTGTTTCCCCACAGTGTATGCCCGGGACAGGGGCTCACCTCCCCTATTGACCCATGTCACAGTGCGGGTGACTGTGGAGGATGAGAATGACCATGCCCCAACCTTTGGCAGTGCCCACCTCTCTTTGGAGGTTCCCGAGGGTCAGGACCCCCAGACCCTTACCACACTGCGGGCCTCTGACCCTGATGTGGGCGCCAACGGGCAGCTGCAGTACCGGATCCTGGGTGAGAACTGTCCCACAGGTACCCACCCAGCCCTTACTCTTCCTGCTCTTGTCCTCCTCGACCCTGCGTCGGCCTCCGTCAGTGGGTCTGGGTCTTTCCCCTCCTCTCTTCTTTTTTCTTCCACACATGTTTGACCTCTGAGTACCCTTTTCTAAACCTCGCCAGCTCTTCACCTCCCTTTGTGTCTCTATTTTTTATCTTCCTGTTCCTTTCTGTTAAAAAAAAGAAACCACTTTTTCTTTAAATCATTTTATTGGGGGCACATACAGCTCTTAACACGATCCATACATACAACCAAATGTGCCACATTTGTACATATGTTACCATCAGCATTTTCAGAACATTGTCTTTCTACTTGAGCCCTTGGTATTAGCTCATTTTTCCCCTCCCTCCCTCCCTCCCTCCCTCACAAACCCTTGATAATTTATTAATTTTTTTTTCATGTCTTACATTGACGAATGTCTCTCTTCACCCACTTTTCTATTGCCCATCCCCCTGGGAGCGGGTTATATGAGATCATTGTGATCAGTTCCCCCTTTCTCCTGCCCACCTTTCCCTTCCCCTCCTGGTATCACTATCATGATTGGTCCTGAGGGATTTATCTGTCCTGGATTCCCTGTGTCTCCAGCTCTCATCTGTACCAGTATACATGCTCTGGTCTAGCTGGATTTGTAAGGTAGAATTGAGGTCATGAGAGTGTGCGTAGTGGGGTTGGGGGTGGGGGGACTGGGAGGGGGGAAGAAACCACTTTTTGTTGTGAATCGAATGAAGGTTTTTAGAGCAGACCATCCGCTTTCCAGTCAACAATTCATACACATTTTATCTCAACGCATCCATTGCAATCCCCTCCGTGTGCCAGTATGTATTCCAATTCTCACTACGTATCTCCAATTCTGTTCTCATTTCTCCTTTAAAAACAAAAGTTTTCTTAGCACTCCATCCACATGTCATACGATTCAAAAATTCAGTCTTATCCAGAAACATTATACTTCTCCATTTCTAACCCTCTGAACATTGTCCTTAGGTAAATGTCACCCTTTTGATTTTACACTGCTGTTACACTTCAAACTCTGAAAATGTCTTGAGATCTGCAGTGCTTTTGTTTACATGGGCTATATGTACCCCAATGTTGACTATATTCGATACTCAAACAGAGAAAATTCAGAAAAACCATAGCAAAAGAAGCCAATAAAATACACTTGCCTAGCATCTGCATCGGCACAAGAAAATGCCAGAACTTCACAGAACAATCTATTGGACAATAGGGAGGTTGTGGACATCACAGCAGGTGTAACCCAAGGTAACTAGAAAGGGAACAAATGGTAACTCTCAGAAAACACACATTTGAATTCCAACCTACTCCCTAGGAATTCTAGGAAACCCAGGAGCACATGAGCTGTTGAGCAATGATGTCATCCTGTCTCATGCAGCGTCTGGACAACTCCAGAATACATTTGTGAGCTAGTGAGAATCCAAGAGGCGAATTACATTTTAGTATTGCTAGCAAAACTAGTTTGGATTCTATAGACTTCCTGAAAAGATCTCAAGGAAACTCCCAGGACTCCTCAGACCAGTCTGAGAAGAGCTGCTCACCTGGGTTTCTCTTCCTCTTTATCTCTGTCCCAGTTTCTCTGTTTCTCTCTCTCTCTCTCTCTCTCTCTGCTGTTCACTACATATCACCTCCACCTCAATGGGCTGCCATTCTTTGCAGATGGGGACCCAACAGGAGCCTTTGTCCTCAATGTCGCTTCTGGGGAGTTCGGCACCAGGAGGCCGCTAGACAGGGAATTGGAGCCAGCATACCAGCTGAAGATAGAGGCCCGGGATGGAGGGCAGCCGGTGCTCAGTGCCACTCTGCTTGTGACTGTGACTGTGCTGGATGCCAATGACCATGCGCCAGTCTTCCCTGTGCCAGCTTACTCCGTGGAGGTGCCCGAGGATGCACCTGCAGGGACCCTGCTGCTGCAGCTACAGGCTCATGACCCTGACGCTGGGGCCAACGGCCGTGTGACCTACTACCTGGGTGCTGGTGCAGCAGGAGCCTTCCTGCTGGAGCCGGGCTCTGGGGAATTGCGCACAGCTGTGGCACTGGACCGAGAACAGTGTCCCAGCTACGCCTTCTCTGTGAGTGCAGTGGACGGGGCAGCCGCCGGGCCGCTGAGCACCACCGTGTCTGTCACCATCACAGTGCGTGACGTCAACGACCACGCACCTACCTTCCCTGCCAGTCCCCTGCGACTGCGCCTGCCTCGCCCAGGCCCCAGCCTCAGCACCCCGACCCTGGCTTTGGCCACGCTGCGAGCTGAGGACCGTGACGCTGGTGCCAATGCCTCCATCCTGTACCGACTGGCAGGCACTCCTCCCCCGGGCACTACAGTTGACTCTTACACCGGGGAAATCCGGGTGGCCCGCTCCCCTGCAATGCTGGGCCCTCAGGATCTCGTCCTCTTCATTGTGGCCACTGACCTTGGACGTCCAGCTCGCTCTGCCACGGGCGTGGTGATTGTTGGGCTGCAAGGAGAGTCTGAGCGTGGACCCCGCTTTCCCCGGGCTAGTAGCGAGGCCATGCTCCGTGAAAATGCACCACCAGGTGGGTCCCCCAGCCGTTTCCCACAGGTTACTCTCCAAAAATGCTCCCAAGGTGCTGCTGTCCAGTGCTCACATGCCACCCCGTGTGTGTCCTCTGCAGGGACTCCCATTGCCTCCCCCAAGGCCATCCATGCAGGGGGCTCAAATGGACTGATCACCTACAGCATTCTCAGCGGGAATGAGAGAGGGGTCTTCTCAATCCAGCCCAACACAGGTGAGGGGCAGGAGCAGGGACTGGCTTTGAGGGAGGGGACAGACTCTGGACTCAAGGAGCCACCAGTAGGGAGGGGCTGCCCTTACCTGAGGGCCCGCCCTTTTGCCTCCCCACCAGGAGCCATCACAGTGCGCTTGGCTGAGGGGCTGGACTTCGAGGTAAGCCCACGGCTACGGCTGGTGCTGCAGGCAGAGAGCGGGGGAGCCTTTGCCTTCTTAGTGCTGACCCTTACACTGCAAGATGCCAATGATAATGCTCCCCGCTTCCTTCGGCCCCACTACGTGGCCTTCCTGCCTGAGTCCCGGCCCCTGGAGGGGCCCCTGCTGCAGGTATGGGGTGTGCTGAGAGGGCGAGGATGGGGGTTGGTAGAGGACTGGTTGATGGCCAGGCCGGTGCCTCACAACCTCCTACTCCCTCCAGGTGGAGGCAGATGACCTGGACCAAGGCTCCGGTGGACAGATCTCCTACAGCCTGGCCGCCTCCCAGCCTGCACGAGGATTGTTCCACGTGGACCCAGCCACCGGCACCATCACGACCACAGCCATCCTGGACCGTGAGATCTGGGCAGAAACACGGTGAGGCCCGGCCCTGTAAAACCTTAACCTGGGTGTGTCAAGTTCCAAATCTAGCCCTAAATTGCCTTCCCTCCCTAGGCTATGCCCTAAGTCCTCTCAGCTTCCCGCGCTGACCTGCCCCTTGTCTCTTGGCCCTGCCCCACCCGCTGACCATCTTCTGTGCCCAGGCTTGTGCTGATGGCCACAGACAGAGGAAGCCCAGCCCTGGTGGGCTCAGCAACCCTGACAGTGATGGTCATCGACACCAATGACAACCGCCCCACCATCCCCCAGCCCTGGGAGCTCCGAGTGCCAGAAGGTGAGGGCTGGGTAAAGTGAGAGGTACAAAGTGCGGCAGGGAGACAAGTCCCTTACACTAGGGCCCCCCCCACCTTCCCGGGGCACCTTGCTTTTGCCAGACATGCTTGTCCCCTGCTTTACAGATGTGCTGTTGGGCTCCGAGATCGCCCAGGTCACAGGGAATGATGTGGACTCAGGACCAGTGCTGTGGTATGTGCTGAGCCCATCTGGGCCCCAGGACCCCTTCAGCGTTGGCCGCTACGGGGGCCGCATCTCCCTCACGGGCCCCCTGGACTTCGAGCAGCGTGACCACTACTCCCTGCAGCTGCTGGCACACGACGGGCCTCACGAGGGCCATGCCAACCTCACGGTGCTCATCGAGGATGTCAATGACAACGCGCCTGCCTTCTCACAGAGCCTTTACCAGGTACTGCTGACCTGGGGCATCCCCACACTCAGGCCCAAGGTGGCTCCCGTTGGGTGGAAGTGACCAGGACTTTGGAGCCGAGCGAGGGACAGTGCTCTGGAGATGAGAGGGTCCCTTCTTGGACCCGCTTCTCCAAGCCAGTCTCTCAAGGAAACCGTGTCCAGGCAGTTTCTCCCAACCTGAGCACCGAAAGGGAGAGAGATGATTCTCAGTAGAACTTTAAGGAGTGGGACTCTCCCCTTGATGCCAAGTGTGCGCTTAAGGGGCCAAACGCGAGCACAGGCTGAGTGGGTGTCCGTGCAGCTGGAAAGCTTGGCCAGAAACACTTTCCCTGGTACCCTAGGTGACCCTGCTAGAGCACATGCCCCCGGGCAGCGCCATTCTCTCCGTCTCTGCCACTGACCGGGACTCAGGTGCCAACGGTCACATCTCCTACCACCTGGCTTCGCCTGCCGAGGGCTTCAGTGTTGACCCCAACAACGGTGCGTCTTTCCCTGGCTTGCTAGCTTGCTGGGCCACATTTTTTTTTTTTTCATTCAAATTCTTAACCCCCATGTCTGGCCCAGGGAGGACACCGTCACCCATCTGTAGTGTAAGCCCTTCCCTGACTGTGTGACCCAGAGTCCTTCCCTGAACTTGGAATCCTTTACCAGAGGTCATTTCCTGGACCCTGACGTGTCAGTCACTCCCCAGTTCCCCCCACAGCCTCTGCTGAAAGACTGTTTCTTCCTGTTCCCTTCTCATCTCAGGGACCTTGTTTATGACACTAGAAACTGTGGCCCTGGGCCAGGAGGGCCCGGGCATGGTGGATGTGGTGCTGGAAGCACGTGACCACGGGGTGCCAGGCCGGGCGGCACGAGCCACAGTGCATGTGCAGCTCCAGGACCAGAACGACCACGCCCCAAGCTTCACATCACAGCACTACCGCGTGGCTGTGACTGAGGACCTGCCCCCTGGTTCCACTCTACTTACCCTGGAAGCCACAGACGCCGACGGAAGCCGCACCCATGCTGCCGTGGACTACAGCATCATCAGTGGCAACCGGGGCCGAGTCTTCCAACTGGAGCCCCGGCTGACTGAGGCTGGGGAGGGTGGAGGGCCAGGACCCCGGGCGCTGGGCTGCCTAGTGCTGCTTGAGCCTCTGGACTTCGAGAGCATGACCCAGTACAATTTAACGGTGGCTGCAGCTGACCGGGGACAGCCACCCCGCAGCTCAGCAGTGCCGGTCACTGTCACGGTGCTGGATGTTAATGACAACCCACCTGTCTTCGCCAGAGCAGCCTACCATATGGCAGTGCCCGAGGACACACCTGTTGGTGCTGAGCTGCTGCACGTGGAGGCCTCCGACGCCGACCCCGGTCCTCACGGCCTCGTGCGCTTCACCGTCAGCTCCGGGGACCCCCTGGGGCTCTTTGAGCTGGATGCGAGCACAGGGGCCTTGCGCCTGGCCCACCCACTGGACTGTGAGAGCCAGGCTCGCCATCAGCTTGTCGTGCAGGCTGCCGACCCCGCTGGGGCACACTTCGCACTCGCCCCGGTGACAATTGAGGTCCAGGATGTGAATGACCACGGCCCAGCCTTTCCACTGAGCTTGCTCAGCACCAGCCTGACAGAGAACCAGCCTCCAGGTACTCTCATCACCACTCTGCATGCGGTTGATGGCGATGCCGGCGCTTTTGGGAGGCTTCGCTACAGCCTGCTGGAGGCCGGGCCAGGACCTGAGGGCCGGGAGGCATTTGCTCTGAACAGCTCCACTGGGGAGCTGCGAGCCCGTGTGCCCTTTGACTATGAGCACACAGGCAGCTTTCGGCTGCTGGTGGGCGCCACAGACACTGGGAATCTCTCGGCCTCGGTCACCGTGTCGGTGCTGGTGACCGGTGAGGATGAGTATGACCCGGTCTTCCTGGCTCCAGCTTTCTACTTCCAAGTGCCAGAAGGTGCCCGCCGCGGTCACAGTCTGGGCCGCGTGCAGGCTACCGATGAGGATGGGGGTGCCGACGGCCTGGTGCTCTATTCCCTGGCCACCTCCTCACCCTATTTTGGTATCAACCAGACTACAGGCGCCCTGTACCTGCAGGTGGACAGCCGGGCCCCGGGCAGTGGGGCAGGGGCTTCGAGCAGTGGGGGCAGGACCAGGCGTGAGGCACCGCGGGAGATGAGGCTGGAGGTAGTGGCCCGAGGGCCACTGCCTGCCTCTCGAAGTGCCACCGTGCCTGTGACCATGGACGTCACCCACACCGCCCTGGGCCTGGCGCCTGACCTCAACCTGCTCTTGGTGGGGGCGGTGGCGGCCTCGCTGGGTGTGGTTGTGGTGCTTGCGCTGGCAGCTCTGGTCCTAGGACTGGTGCGGGCACGGAACCGCAAGACTGAGGCAGCCCCAGGCCCAATGTCACAGGCGGCACCCCTGTCCAGTGGATCCCTTCAGAAGCTGGGCCGGGAGCCACCTAGCCCGCCGCCCTCGGAGCACCTGTACCACCAGACCCTCCCCAGCTATGGTGGACCAGGAGCTGGGGGCCCCTACCCCCGCGGTGGCTCCCTGGACCCCTCACACTCCAGCGGCCGCGGTTCCGCAGAGGCCGCTGAGGATGACGAAATCCGCATGATCAATGAGTTTCCACGCGTGGCCAGTGTGGCCTCCTCCCTGGCCGCCCGTGGCCCCGACTCGGGGATCCAGCAGGATGCAGATGGACTGAGTGACACATCCTGTGAGCCGCCCGCCCCTGACACATGGTACAAGGGCCGCAAGGCAGGGCTGCTGCTGCCAGGCTCAGGAGCCACCCTGTACCGAGAGGATGGCCCCCCTGCCACCGCCACCGCCTTCCTGGGGGGCTGTGGTCTGAGCCCTGCACCCGCCGGGGACTATGGCTTTCCAGCAGATGGCAAGCCGTGCGTGGCCGGCGCGCTGACGGCCATCGTGGCTGGAGAGGAGGAGCTTCGTGGCAGCTATAACTGGGACTACCTTCTGAGCTGGTGCCCGCAGTTCCAGCCGCTAGCCAGTGTCTTCACAGAGATTGCCCGGCTCAAGGATGAAGCTCGGCCTTGTCCTCCAGCTCCCCGTATTGACCCGCCACCCCTCATCACTGCAGTGGCCCACCCAGGAGCCAAGTCTGTGCCCCCCAAACCAGCCAGCACAGCTGTAGCCCGAGCTATCTTCCCACCGGCCTCCCACCGCTCCCCCATCAGCCACGAGGGCTCCCTGTCCTCAGCTGCCATGTCCCCCAGCTTCTCACCCTCCCTGTCCCCTCTGGCTGCTCGTTCACCTGTTGTCTCTCCATTTGGGGTGGCCCAGGGCCCCTCAGCCTCAGCCCTCAGCTCAGAATCTGGCTTGGAGCCGCCTGATGACACAGAGCTGCACATCTAGCTGTGGCCCGGGCTGGGCCCCGACCTGGGATGCGAACAGTGTCCCCAATGCAGGCCCCACTCTGAGCCTGCCCTGGGCAGCCTCGGACCATGTTTGGCCACAGGGGAGGCGACCCTTGGACCCCAGATCCCCACCCCCAGCTCCCCCAGTTGGGGCAGGTCCTATATCCTAGCCCCTCAGAGCACCAGCACCAGAGGCGCCCTGTTGGGGGACTGGCCTGGGGGCCTGGTCCAATGTAGGGGGTGGGGGAGGAAACATGGAGGGGCGGGCCTTGGGTTCTCCCTGAGGACTTCCTGCCCTGCACCAGCACCCTGGGGTGGAGCTGAGACTTTATTTATTGGGGGGCATGGGGGGGTAAGGTCTCTCCAACCCATTGGGGCCCAGTTCCTGTGGGTTCCACTGACACCCCTACCCCTACCCAGAACCAAGTGCCAATTCTCACTCTGGAGCCTTAATAAACTGCAGTTTGTATCCAGTCTCAGACTCTGCTCTGTGGGTGGCAGCAGGGGGTGTAAGAAGCTGGAGGTGGGGTGGTGGGGGCATGTGGAGGTCCTGGAGCTCAGGAGCCTAGCCCGAGGTTGGTTGTGACATGGAGCTGGGGGAATGGCTGCATGTGGATGTGGGGTTGAGGACAGCAGGGAGGCAAGAGCAGCTCAATCGAGTGGCTCTCTGTGGGCTGCTGTGCATCCAGTCTGTAACAGGAGCTCCCATTTGTTGAGCCTTGGCTGTGTCAGAGTCTCTGCTGAGCCATCTGCCAGCTTTAGCTCAGGGTGACTTCACAGCAAGCCTGTGAGGCAGCTGAGTTTTAATATGAGAGTGTCTGTTACAAATGAGATCTGAGCTCAGATAGGTGAAATTACTCTGATATCCCCACGCCTGTGATTCTCTTTACTGTGCCACACTGGAGTCGGGAATCAAGGTGGGAGCTCTGGGCTTACTCGGTGCTGGGCAGGGCAGAGGGACAGATGAAAGGGCACCCTGCCCCAGCATTCGGAAACTCCCTTCCCAGGGAGGGAGGAGCTAGCACGGCACTAAGCCAAGGAGGGTGGGGTAGCAGTAGTTGTGCAGGAAGACTATAAGGGTCATGTGATAGATCACATGACAGGAGGGAGGCAGAAAGGCAGAATGGGACTCCGATCCTGGTAAGAAAATATCCCCCCACCACCCAATGCTTGGGAGCGGGGAACGAAAGAACGTGCGTTGGGATGGGAAACACTGACAGCCAGCCTCCCCACCCTGCAGCTTCCTAGGACTTCTTGCCCTTTCCGTTGCTGGGAAATGCAGTTACAGCCCCGAACCCGACCAGCAGCGGACGTGAGTGGTTTGATAGCGAGTGCCTCTTTCCCCTTGCCATGTCCTGCACCCACCTTCCTCGTCCCAGACTCTCACCCTCTCACTGGCCCTGGGACCCACCTTATAGCCTCATCCTGGGGTTCCTAGGCTCAATTCCCCCATCCTACACTTCCCGTGACCCATATCAGCCCCTGAGAGCTGACATGAGGTCTGTCTCAGTGACCTAAATTTCCAAGACCTACATTTTTCACCTCCATCTTAACCAAGGCTGTGTCCCTGAAACTTAACCCCTGACCTGCAGGCTGCCCCCAGGCTGGGTGTCTCTGGGCCGTTTGGACCCCGAGGAAGAGCTGAGTCTCACTTTTGCCCTGAGACAGCGGAACCTGGAGCGACTCGCCCACGTGGTGCAGGCTGTGTCGGATCCCCGCTCTCCTCGCTATGGTGCATGCTGGAACTTGGGGGAGGGACGGCACTGGTCTGGGCAGGGGAGGGTGGGGCGGGGCAGGGTAATGCAGGGCATGTTGGAGTCATGATGTGAACTGAAACGTAATAATCCCTCACTAATACTCGTCCCCTCAGCCTTTCCACCAGTGTTCCTCAAGCTAGAACCCTAAGATCGAGGTTTGTGATCAGCTCTAGAATCAAAGCTCCTACCTCTGCTACTTGGCAGCGATCCTATGAGTAGGGAATAGCATCTAGGACAGTGGTTCTCAACCTTCCTAATGCCGTGACCCTTTCTTTAATACACTTCATGTGTGGTGACCCACCCCGCCAAACATAAAATTATTCTCGTTGCTACTTCATCATTGTAATTTTGCTACTGTTATGAGTCGGGCAACCCCTGTAAAAGGGTCATTCGACCCCAAAAGGGGTCTTGACCCACAGGTTGAGAACCGCTGATCTAGTGGCTCTAAGCACTTGTCATCTCAAGTTCCTTCCTCAAACATCACTTCCTCTGTTTGGACACCAAGGCTGCTGGTTCCAACCCCTTAAAACTGGATCGATCACGTCTCTCCACTTCCACTCCCACCAACTCCGTTGCTTACTTCCCACTTGGACAACTGCCCAGCTCCCTGACTGGTCTCTGCAGTCTCCTCCACTCCACTCCCCACTCGGCCCCAGAACAACCTGGACCACAGTCAAGTTGCAGTGTCCCCTGCTCTTCACAGCAGCCATGAGCACTGAGGGAGGTGGGCTCACACTCCCCCAGGAGGCCAGGGCTTGGGTGCCTCTCTCCATGCAGGAACAGTGACTCACCAGCCCCTTCGAGGAAAAGCAGCCAAAGAGTAGAAGAAAGAAAATGTTCTGAAAATGATGGTGGCAACAATTGTACAATACTGCTGAATCTAACTGGACTATGGATTGTTATATCTGTAGAGCTCCTAATATAAAAGCGGGGGGAAGGGGCAACCAGCAAGCATGAAGAGTGGAGTGACTGTAGATGCCATCTTATACAATTGGCTCCCTAAGTTCTGAAGGGCCGCAGCAACAAAGGGGTACCTCCTCTGGGGAGTTGAGGAGACGAGGGACCCTGCTGGTGTAGTGGTTAGAGTTGGGCTGTGATTCGCAAGTTCCATTGTTTGAAACCACCAGCCATTACACAGGAGGACGACCAGGCTTTATAGGCGTAAACAGTCTCAGAAACCCACGGCAGCAGTTCTACCTTCCTATATGGTCGCTATGAGTTGGCATCAACTCAAGGACTGAGTTTTGAAAAGGTTTGAAGAATTCCATGCGTTTGAATTGTGGTGCTGGTGAAGAAGATTCAAAGTGCCATGGACTGCTAGAAGGACAAACCGATCTGTCTTAGAAGCAGTACAGTCGGAATGTTCCTTGTCTTGCATACTTTGGACATGTTGTCAGGAGAGACCAGTCCCTGCAGAAGGACATCATGCTTGGTAAAATGGAGGGGCAGCGAAAAGACAAAGGTCCTCAATGAGACAGATGGACCCCATGGCTGCAGACTTAAGAATAATTGTGAGGATGGTGCAGGAACAGGCAGCGTTTGCCTTCAGTTGTGCACTGGGTCACTATGAGTCGGGGCTGATGATGGCACCTAAAAACAAGGTTTGAAAATATTTATTGTGGAAATGTTTCACTTATTTGCTTGTTTTTCACTGTCGTGACAATGTATTCTATGACGTAACCTTGGCATATCAAGTCTCCCCAGCCTCCCCCATCCTCACCTGTTCACCACCCCCATAAATCCTGAAGCTATACAGCCCTCCTTTTTGCTAGAAGATTACTTGAGCATCCTCAAGACCTTGCTCCAGGCTCCTTGGGAAGCCTTGATGTCTCTTGGCTGGAGTCTAAGGAAGGCAAGGTGGGAAAACAATGAGTAAAGGTAAGAGCCCCTTCTGAATCCCTGCAGGGAAATACCTGACCCTTGAGGATGTGGCTGAACTGGTGAGGCCATCACCACTGACCCTCCGCACCGTCCACAAATGGCTGCTGGGAGCTGGAGCCTGGAACTGTCACTTGGTGATCACACAGGACTTTCTGACTTGCTGGCTGAGCGTCCGGTGAGAGGAAATGGTTGGCCCCAAGAAGGGTTCCCATCATCCCACCAGGGAGACGGGTCACTTCAGTGGGAGGGAGCGGCGAGCTTGCTGCACGCCTGTAGGAAGGAGCAGCTGAAGGCATGGGGAGAGGACCCATTTCCCAGGGCTGCTCCAGGGACCTCCTCTGCTCTGTTGCATGATTTCTGACCTTCTTCTGGTCTCTGCCCTCCAGACAGGCAGAGCTGCTGCTCTCTGGGGCTGAATTCCATCGCTATGTGGGGGGACCTGCAAAGACCAGCGTTGTAAGGTCTCTACAACCCTACCAGCTCCCACAGGCTTTGGCATCTCATGTGGACTTTGGTAACACCCAGTGGGTTTGGTGGGGGTTGGGGAGGCAGAACCTGGAGCCAGGGAAGCTGGGCTTCAGCTTTAAAATAAGGAGGGGAGGTGGACTGGAGTCTCTAAGAGCTCCTCCTCAAGTCTGATCCCTCCCCAAGTGGGGGGTCTGCACCGCTTCCCTCCTACATCGACCCTGAGGCAACGCCCTGAGAGACAAGTGGCAGGGGCAGTTAGCCTGCACCTCGGGGTGACCCCAGCTGTGATCCGGGAGCGGTACAACCTGACAGCACGAGATGTGGGCTCTGGTGCCACCAACAACAGCCAGGCTTGTGCCCAGGTGAGCCATGCCAATCAGCCCAGCTCCCCACAGCCATCTGGTGTGTCCTGAGTGCCTACCCTGCTTCTCGCCCTCATTATAAACCATCCTTTACCCCACGCCGTGCCCCCTGACTCCCTCCACAGTTCCTGGACCAGTACTTCCATGACTCAGACCTGGCTAAATTCATGCACCTCTTCGGTGGGACATTTGTGCACCAGACATCAATAGCCCACGTGGTTGGAAAACAGGGCCGGGGCCGGGCTGGGATCGAGGCCAGTTTAGACGTGGAGTACTTGATGAGCGCCGGTGCCAACATCTCCACCTGGGTCTACAGTAACCCAGGTACGGCCAGGGGGTCGGTTGGTGGGGAAGAAAGTTGGGGTGGGTGTTGGTCCCTACTGCCCCAAGGGACTCTCCTGACCTGGTGTCCCACAGTGACCACCCTTGTATCCTTCTCCCCGGTCAATCAAGGCCGGCATGAGGCGCAGGAGCCCTTCCTCCAGTGGCTCCTCCTGCTCAGTAATGAGTCGGCCCTGCCGTATGTGCACACCGTGAGCTACGGAGACGACGAGGATTCTCTCAGCAGCACCTACATACAGCGGGTCAACACGGAGTTCATGAAGGCTGCTGCTCGGGGTCTCACCATGCTCTTTGCCTCAGGTGACTGCCTACCTTCAACTTACCCCAGTGACTGGCCACTCACCCCCAGTGACCAGACTCTGAGCTCTGATTTAGAATCAAATCAGAACCCAGATCCTCAACAGGGACCAGTAACCTGACCTCTAAACTCTGACCTCCCGCAGTCATGACTGACGCTGAATTTCCACTCTTACTCCTCAAGCTCTGACCAATTAATCTGAGTGCTGAACTTGATGTCTCTCACAGGTGACAGTGGGGCTGGCTGTTGGTCTGTCTCTGGAAGGCATCAGTTCCGTCCCAGCTTCCCTGCCTCCAGGTAGGCATCCTAGCCCACCCTTATGTCTGACCATCAACCTCTCACCTTTGACTTCATGATCTAGAATCTTTGCCTCGACCCCACCAGAACCTTCTGTTACTCAACCTTCAGCTTTACCTTCCGTGGCTGCTCTACTCATTTTTCTTCCTGCAGGCCCCAAGCCCCAGGTCTCATGGGTGCGATATAGCACCTACTCCCTAAATACTCAGGCAATCTTGTGAAGATTTGGTGGGTGTCTACCTGCAGAAAAACAGCGATTTCACAGTCCATTCCTTGAAAGCTGAAAACACTGACCCATGGAATCTGGTCCCTCTAGGAAGGCCCAAGGGTGACACTGTGGGTACAGCGTTAGGCAGCTAACTGCAAGGCTGGTGGTTCGAACACACCAGCTGCTCCTTGAAAGAAAGAGGAGGCTTTCTGATGTCATAAAGGTCAGCGGGTCTTGGAAATCCTATGTAGGGTTGCTAGGAGTCTGAATGGACTCGATGGCTGTGGGTTTGGTTTTTTGGTCAGCAAGACCCAGGAACTCCTGATGGTGTGGTAGGTAAAGCAGTGGGCTGCTAATCGCAAGGTGGGAGGTTCAAATCCACCAGCTGCTCCTCAGAAGAAAGATGAAGCTATCTGCTCCCATGAAGAATGACAGCTTTGGAACCTCGATTGGGCAGTTCTCCTCTAACACAGGTGCAGAGAGTCAGAAGTGACTACAGCAGTGGGTTGTTTTGTGTTGATGGATTAGGCCACACTTACTTATTCCACACATCCTGGAAGTGCTCACGGTTCCCCCTGTAAGCTGAATGTTGTCTTCTGCCCTCAGCCCCTATGTTACCACAGTGGGAGGCACATCTTTCCAGAATCCCTTCCTCGTCACCAATGAGATTGTTGACTATATCAGTGGTGGCGGCTTCAGCAATGTGTTTCCACGGCCTTCATACCAGGTGTGTGTATGCTTATGGAGATGGATAGGTGGAAGAGGGTTCAACAGATTACTGGGAAGGCCACAGGCCAATATTCACTCCACATTGCCTTGCAGGAGGAAGCTGTAGCCAAGTTTCTGAGCTCCAGCCCCCATCTGCCACCATCTAGTTACTACAATGCCAGTGGACGTGCCTACCCCGATGTGGCTGCACTCTCCGACGGCTACTGGGTGGTCAGCAACAGCATAGCCATCCCATGGGTGTCTGGCACCTCGGTGAGAATTAGCCTGACCCAAAGCCCCACTCAGGAACTGCTCTTATCACTACCACGAACACTTTGTACCCAGAAGCCAGACTCAAGAGATCTCTGGTCTTTTTAGATGCCCCAATAAATCTAACTACTCAGGCCACACCCTAACCTCTACTTGAACTGCATCACTTTCAGGCCTCCACTCCTGTATTTGGAGGAATCCTCTCCTTGATTAATGAGCACAGAATCCTCAATGGCCAGCCTCCTCTCGGTTTTCTCAATCCAAGTCTCTACCAGAAGCACGGAGCAGGTCTCTTTGATGTGAGTGTGCACGGAATGGTGTGGATGCTTTCAAAGCAGTCTGGGGAATACTAGTCATCTACCAGTATTCTAGGATGTGGATACGGGTGGAGGATGTGCAATTCGGTGGTACCGGGAACAACCCAGATCTGACGTCCACTTCTCCCCTAGGTGACCCATGGCTGCCATGAGTCCTGTCTGAATGAAGAGGTGCAGGGTCAGGGGTTCTGCTCTGGCCCTGGCTGGGATCCTGTGACAGGCTGGGGAACACCCAACTTCCCAGATCTATTGAAGACACTACTCAACCCTTGACCTTTTCCTGCCAAGAGAGCAGATTTGTCTTCTGCCTTGCAGCCAGTGGCTTGGTCCCTTATTTCACCCTGATGGAGGCCATTTGGACCCTCAACCATTGACTGCTACAGACAGCTTACCTCCCTAACTATGGCATGCTGTGAGCTGGACTAGACTCCCAGCCCTACCTGGCTTCATTATACTCTGGGGTCCACACACTCTTGCCTCAAGTTGCCCTACAAAATGTCATGATAATCAGCACTTGGGGTGCTCCTCCCCCATCTCTTTCTCTTTTCATCCAGGCTTCCCCAAAGAGTGCCTACCTTACTGTGTACATGATTTCACTTCACTTTCACTCCTCAGTCCATTGCAACGAGATCTCTGCTTTTGCCCTTTCCTCTCCCTGACACTGGGCTCACTGAGGATCAGTCTGTTTCACGCAGCACACACTTGTTGTTCTTTGTTTTAGGGACTCTCTGCTGTGGTTTCCCATTCCCTCTCCTTCCTTAGCTTCCAGGACTTCCTTTCTCGAACCACACCTGTCTCCCGCCTTCATGGACGTCTCCTCTGCGTACTCACTGAGTGCTGCTGTTTGCCATCGCTCCAGCTTCAGGCTGTTGCTCCTCTGACACCACCCATGGTCCCTTGAACACATCACTGACATCTCCAGTTGTCATTATCTCACTAAATGCAACTCTTTATCCAATAGTAACTGATACCTCAAATGCAAGCTGCAAGATACACAACACTTCATCTCCTTCCATCCCAAACCCAAGCTGTCCCATTTCTCTGGTTTCTTCCTAGATATTGACACTATGCTTCTTCCGACCAAGTCAGAAACCTAAGTGCCATGCTAGACTCTCATTTCCTTTACATCCCCCACCTTCAATCTAGAAAGCCTTCTGGCTTTATCTTTTAATATGTTTATATCAACCCGCAAGTTCCACCGACTGAAGATATTGAAAGATATCTAGAAGTCATCCATTTACCTCCATATTCGCTGCTATGTTATTAGCTTAGTCTTATTCTCTGTCCTTTGTACTATAGGCAGTCCTAGCAAAAACAGCATCCTTGTCCTTCCTAAACTACCTTTCAGAGGAAAATGCACATCCCATCAGATCACTGACTTGAGTCAAACGCATCAAAGGTTACTAGGTAAAGTTCAGATTTTTTCATCAAGGCCCATAAGACCAGGTCTCTTCCTTACTTGTGCCTGAGTAAAAAAATATTTATCCTCTCCCCTTACCCATGCCCCCCACCCCCACTGTCACACTCCTTCCCCTCCGTCATCTCACTTTTGTTCAAGCTTATTCCTACTGCTTAAAACTCAAACCAAACTCATTGCCATAGTCACCAAAGCGTCCGTAGTCTTCTGTCTGGCATATTTCCATAATTCTTTAAAGACTCAGCTTGGAAGTTTCCATCTCGTGTGAACCATTTTGCTTCCCTGAGGCTCAATGAGATGATTTTAGTATGGCAGAAAAATTCTAGATTAAAAAAAACCAAAACTGTCTTATTTTGGGTTCTGATAGACGCTAACCCAAGAACTTAAGCAACTCCTCCTCGCTCTCCAAGGCCGTTTCCTCATCTGCTCAGTGGAATTCTCAAAATGCCGGCCTCACAGAAGGATCGGGAATCAAAGATGAAAAAATGTTGACAAAGTGCCGCAGCCTGGACTAGGCAGATGTCTTCCCCCTCGCACTCACACACTCTGCCTACCTCCAGCATCAAAGCTACCACCCAGTATTGAAATAACTCCTTTGTTTGCCTTATTTCCCAAGCCTTGGTATCTAGAGGTCTAGACATTTGTCCTACTCAACTCTCTATCCCCAAGCCCAAGTTCAGTGGTTGGCAAAGAGGAATGCAATAAATGTTTGGTGAATTGAGAATCCCACACTTTCACTTGCAGTTCCTTTGCGTTTCGTTCTCACCTTCTAAAAGGCAACATTGTGGGCTGCCCCCTTACAGCCCCTATTAGGGTACTTGGCTGGGAGGGAGGGCTCTCTAGCTCTACAGTGAACCATGAAAAGGCCAAAAAAGGGAACTAGAGGGGGTGTAAGGGGAACCCTGGTGGCATCGAGTGCTCTACATTGGGCCAGGCATCGAGTGCTCTACATTGGGCCACTGATCACAAGGTTAGTAGTTCAAAGTCATCAGCCACTCTGAGGGAGAAAGAGGCTTTCTACTCCCGCAAAGAATTACAGTCTCAGAAACACACAGGGGCAGTTCTACCCTGTCCTTTGGGGTCACTATGAGTGGGCGTCAACTTGATGGCAGTGAGTTTGAGAGGAAATGCCAGGGTCCCTGGTAGCACAATGGTTACAGGGCTTGGCTGCTAAATGAGTGGTTGGTGGTTTGAACCCATCAGGCACTCCTCTGGAGAAAGACAGCAGTATGCTTGCGTCACAATTTCCAGCCTTGTAAACCCTGGTGGGTAGTTCTACTCTGTCCTCCACCACGTGCTGTGGCTGGAAGACAAGGAGGCAGAAGGGAAGCAAGGCTGGCAGACACCTCATGGCTGCAGGGTGTTGGGTCTATGCGGGGGAGGATTTATGGCATACCCTGCCTATGGCAAGCACATATACAGTACGTCCAAATATATGACACCCACGTTTTAGATCATTTTACATAATACCAGGTCAAATATACAAGCCAAGCTCGTTAATATTTCACTGAACACATTATGGCACTGCATAAGCCTTACAACTGCTCCTTCCTAAGTTGCACTGATGAAAACTGGTTTGTGATGTGATCATGCTTTTTTCCATCTTGGTAACCTCAGCACAGGATTGCGGTCCGCCTGGACTAATGAACCCACCCACTGCCATCTGGTGGATCCTCTGACTCACAGTGACTCTGTGTAGACTTTCCGAGAGTGCCTATCTCTGGGGAGCAGCTAGCCTCCTCTCCCTCCTATGGAGCAGTCCGTGGGTTCGAATGCCCCCCTTTATGGTTAGCGGCCTATCAATCTCAAGAGTCAACTTGGGAAAGATCTGACAGCGGGCGACGTAAATGGCCAAGAATAATAGAGCCTGCTCAGCGGCGCCCCCTTCCTGCGGCATCCGTGGCACGTGCCACATCTGCAATACCTTAGATGCGCCTCTAGGCCTCGGCGCTCCAGAGCAAAATCTCCCGGGCTGTAGGCTGAATGCGGTCCGAGGGGATCCCGGACAAACAGTGCTCCCATTCCGGAGGAACCACCTGGAATATCGCGGGAGCGACACGTCGCCGGCCAACACAGTTCTCAAAGACTGGGGATGTGACAAACTCGGATGCTAGCATAAAAGCTGGTCCAGCCGGGGGGCGGGGCGGGGAGTGGGCGGGAAGGAGACGGCGTGGGCGGGGCGAGTGGTGGAGCGAGTGACGTCTTCCCCGCTGTGTGCGCGTACGTGAGCGGAAGCGGAAGCAGCTCTGTTCGCCGCCTCTCCCACCGGCCCCATGAGCTGCAGCGGCTCCGGCGCGGACGCCGAGGCGGTGCCGGCCAACGCCGCCTCGGCCCCGGGCCCTGCGCCCCCGGTCTCGGCCCCGGCCGCGCTGCCTGCCAGCGCCGCCGCGGAGAACAAGGCCAGCCCCGCGGGGACCTCAGGGGGACCTGGGGCCGGAGCCGTGTCTGGGGGCACGGGCCCCGTGGCGGCGCGTGCCGGGGAGCCGGCTGAGCGGCGCGTGCCGGGTGAGGGCTGGGACGGGTGAGGGTGAGGGGGCGGGTGAGGACCGCGGGTCCGAGGCAGAGCTAGCTGGGGCCCGGAGCCTCCCCCTCGGGTCTGAGTTGGCTGGTTCCCCTCCAGCTCCGGTGACGGCGGGCGGCGCGGCGCCCCCAGAAGGGGTCATGTCTAACGGAGTTTACGTGCTGCCGAGCGCGGCCAACGGAGAAGTGAAGCCGGTGGTGTCCAGCACGCCTCTTGTGGACTTTCTGATGCAGCTGGAGGATTACACGCCTACGGTGGGCTTACCGCCCGAACAAGGCCACATGGCCTGCTGTCACTGCGACTCTCAGCCACACCTCCTGGCTTCTCATCACCCTCTCCTATTCGCTCCCCTCCTAGCTCTTGTGATTTCACCCCTGTGCATACCCCAACTGTTGGGCTTCCTGATAGCCAGGCCTGCCCTCCCCCAGCTCCCTTCCCTTCCTCCCGCTCAGTGCTGCGTGGCTTCAACTGACACTTGTCTACTTGATTTGCTAGATCCCCGACGCAGTGACTGGTTACTACCTAAATCGTGCTGGCTTTGAGGCCTCGGACCCTCGCATGTGAGTATACTGAGCAGGCTAGAGCTTTGCGTGCTTGTGTGGGGTTTGGGTGTCCAGGGCCAAGGCAGTGTTGGCCTCTGGGAGCTCGCTTTTTTTCTCATGCCAGCATTTTCTCTCTAGAATCCGCCTCATCTCCCTAGCTGCCCAGAAATTCATCTCAGATATTGCCAACGATGCCCTGCAGCACTGCAAAATGAAGGGCACAGCCTCTGGCAGCTCCCGAAGCAAGAGCAAGGTGTGAGGGGAGGCTGACCAGTTTGTAATTACTCCACAGCCTTGGAGACATTCCTTCCCCGGAAGGCCCCGTGGGGAAACAGCCCTAGGGGAAGTGTCAGACCTACTCAGGGTCACCTATCTAGGATGGAAAGCAGCGATTCTTGTACTCAGCCTGTGCTCTTCCGTCTTTTCCTCAGGACCGCAAGTACACTCTGACCATGGAGGACTTGACCCCTGCCCTCAGCGAGTATGGCATCAATGTGAAGAAGCCGCACTACTTCACCTGAGCCGCTCGACATCTATCTATGTATTTGATTGTCCTCATGTCCCCACACCAGCCTGTTTTCATAATAAACTTTATTGTGACAGGCGGGGCTGATCCCTCCCATGCCGGGAGACACCGTGTGACCAGTGGCAAAGCTTTGAGCCCAGCCCTTTGGGGGCCACAGTGGTAGGGATGGGGACAAGGGATGGGTCCCATGGCTGGGGTAGTACCATGACTGGAGGCAGGGCAGGCATCCAGAGGCCTACTGTTTTGGGGGAGATGCACTTTCCCCCAACCGTGTCCTGATACTTCTGGAGTTCAGGCAGGCATGTTCCAGCCCTACTTGTCCTGCATCTTCTCCAGAATGGGTACAATCATGTCAAACTTGGGTCGTTTAGCAGGGTCCTCGTTCATGCAAATCTTCATAAGTTTACACACGTGGGGGGAAATGCCTGGTGGGATTGTAGGCCGAAGGCCTTCCAGCGCCACCTGCCGAGAGGACAAAGAAGGTGAGCATCAGGACTTTGTCATGTGGGAGAGCCCGGGCCACTAGTTATTGCCACCTCACTACCATCCCCCAGCAAAAATGTACATATCTCTTCCCACCTTCATGCCAATCTCCATGTTGGAGAGGTCAGCAAATGGCACCTCCCGTGTCACCAGTTCCCACAGAAGCACTGCAAAACTCCACATGTCTGCCGAGCGTCTGTTCGTGTCTTCAGGCTTCTTCTGCAGAGCTGGAGGGACAGGGCTTGTCTGTTCCCACTGCCCCCGTGGCTTATTTCTGCTGCCTTCTACCAGCACCGAAACGGTTTTCCTTTACCTCCCGATACAAGGCCCACACCCACCTTCAGGGGCCACCCAGGCAGGCGCATACATGCGCCCAGGGCACTGGAAAGAGAACTTGACATCAGCCATGCTTATTCGGGCAGTCATGTCCTCATCAATCTGAAGAAGAGAATATAGGTGGGAGGAGGTGAGTCTTAGTCTAGATAGGTAAAGGAGTTCTGAGGAGTCTGGGCCAGAAGTGGGCTTGTGACCTCACCATGACACTACGGCTATTGAGTGCATGCCGTGGGATGAGGGGTTCTAATGTGTGTAAGAAGGCCATGCCCCTTGCCATGTCCAGTGCAAACTTCACAGCCTGGCTCTGGTCCACAACGAAGTCTACAAGAGGAGGTGGGAGTTAAATAAGTTCTGTGTGCCACTCCACCCCAACCAAGGGCACACACATGGCTACTCACTGGTGCCTTCATGCAGGACATTGTAGAGGGATCCGTATGGCATCCAGTGTGTGATGAGGGTGGGGTGAGGAGCAGGTGGAGACTGGCAGGCTCCTAGCACTGGGAGAACATTTGGATGCGAGAAAATCCTGGGAGGAGAGAGTGTCCCTGGCTGAGACCCAGCCCAAAAGATCTCCCTCTCAGTGCTATTCAGGGTTCCTTGGAACCAGCAGCATCAGGTTTTCCCCTACCTGAGCCGGGGACACTCCTCATTGAAGTCCCTGCTCTTCCTGGTACTCCAGTCTCGCACCTTTAGCACCTTCACAACAATGTCATTGCCCTGCCAGCGGCCCTTCCAGAGCTGAGAACAGGTGGGGGTTAGGCTTTAATAAGGCTGTTTTCCTATCTGGAGGAGCTTAAAGCAGGTGTGTAACAGGTAATTTGTGAGGATTTGGGGAGGGAGGAGCATGAAGGGCAGGGGTCACCTCTCCAGAGTGATTCTCGTTGAGCTTCGCCAAGAAGTTGAGCTGTTTGAAGTCAATGCCGGAGTGTTTGTTCAGGGTCCCATTTCCTGAGAGCGTGGGCAGGTCAGGTCCCCAGCTTCCCCCAACTCAGCTCCAGGAGCCCAGGATGATTCCATTACCACCCCTCCCACCACCAGCAGTGACTCACGGGGCCGAGTGCGGGTGGTCCCCTTCCAAAATGTGTCCTTGTATGGAATTCGGTTGAGATTCTGACCCATCTTCTCTGCTCGCTCTGGAGAAGAAAAACAATCGACCTTAGATATTGTTAATGAAGAGACAGGTGGGGAGGGGCCAGACCAGAGGGCACAAGTAGGGGAAGAGGAAAGGATGGACCTCGAAGAAGCTCTCTGAGGGGAGCCTTGGCTTTGTCCACAGGCATTTCTCCATACTTGTTACAGATGCTGACCAGGGCTCCATTAGCTACCAGGTCCTGGAATGAGAAAGCGCTTGTGATGAGGGCTCCTGCTACCCCTGTGGCAGTACCACAGATGCAGTATATACCCTGTAAGTGTCAAACACTAAGGGTGAGCTGCTTCGGAATCGTCCACTTGGGCTGAGACTTTGCTTCCCCCCTGATCCCAGGGCTTGGAACTCAAGTCCTTACCTCTGCCACCTGGTCTTGACCCCAAAAGCAGGCATAATGCAGAGGTACATTCCCGTGTTCATTCACTGCATTGATGTCAGCCTTGTACTGCAGCAGCTGGATCCCAGGGCCGGGCAGAAGACACAGTCAGTCCCACACGAAAGATGGGTATTGCAGTATAGATCAGGAAGGGGGAAGAGCACACATATGTCTCGTGTATGGTACAGTGCTTACGGTTAACATGGCTGACGGGTTCATACGTACCTTCTGAACAATATCCCGGTGTCCGTGGCTTGCTGCCAGATGCAGGGGGGTGTCATCTCCACGATTCATTACATTGATCCGTGCGCCCCGCATGATCAGCATCTCAACCACAGCAGAGCGGCCCTCCCGGCAGGCCCAGTGCAAGGGGGAGAAGCCATGATCATCCCTTTGTGGAAAGGGCAATGGTCAGTGATCTGGGGGTGGGATGGGGTAGAGGCTTTCAACTGATGGTCACTTCATATTTTTCATGGGAAACCTCACTTCTCTAGGATTTCAATTCTCATTTACGTCAACAACTTCTAAGTCTGCCCAATTCAGCTATTGCCCTTAGCTTCAAACCCAACAAGGGCTACTTCCAATAGAACAAAAGGAAACTCATTGCCATAGAGTGGATGCTGACTCATAGCAACCCTATACGAGGGCGGACTGCCCCGGTGAGTTTCAGAGACTGTTAAGTCCTTACAGGAGTAGAAAGTCCTGTCTTTATCTCGAGGGGCAGTTGGAGGTTTTGGATTGCTGACCTTGAGGATTGCAGTCCAATGCATAAGCACTGTATGCCACCACCAGGACGCTTTAAGGGGCACTTAGGTGACATTAAACCCAACACGTCTGTAAGATTCATTATTTTTACCCCCCACCCCCAAACCATCCTTTCTTCCCTGGGAAGCCCATTCTCACTAGGTGGTAACAATCTTTCTTCATCTGGTTTCTAGCTCGCTACTGGTTTGTCTGTGTTTTTCCTTTTTAAATTTTAGATTGTGAATTGGGTGAAGGCATATGGAGTAGAGCAGTTTTCCGTTCAACTCGTACACGTTTTGTTTCGTGTCGTTCACTGTGGTCCCCCACAGTGTAGCACCCACTCATCCCACTTCCTCCGTGCTTCCACCTTTCTAACACTTTGCAACTTTGTCCAGGGGCAAATGCTACCCTTTTGGTCTCATCAATTATTTGAAGGCACGTGTATGTTCCTAGTGTTACTGTTCTCCTAATGGATTTGTCTGAAAATTAAACCGTGGCCTTCAGGCCTGAAAGATGGCTAAAGGCCGTGGCATTGGGATCCCACCAGTGTACTCAAACAGTAAGCCTAGTCTTTTTTTTAATGATTTTAATTTCGGACGTACATTTTTGTTCCACTCTATCCAGGATGTTCTAATGTGATCCCCTTCAGGGCAGTAGGTAGTGCTAGCTGGGCACCACCTAATTCTTCTGGTCTCAGGATTGTAAAGATTGACATTCTCGTCGGTCGGGCTAATTGCTTCTGTGCATTGTTGAGGTTTTTCATTCTTCTTTCTCCAGTCAGGGAGAGACGGAAAGCTGCACCTTGGATGGCTGAATAGCTTTTAAAACCCCAGTCGCTGCTCACCAAAGCAGGATGTAGAACACTGTCTCTTTGGACTCTGCCATGCTAACTGACCTTTGTGTCGCCCAAGACCATGATCCTACTCCCAGGCTCTGTCTCCTGCATCAGTTTGCAAGGTCTGTCAGACCTTTTTGTTTTCTACTGCATCTTGTCCGCCCCCATACTATAGCGTTTGCCATAGTAGACTGTAAAAATCCACTACTTGGTATTAGCCGATGCTTCCAAGGGACTGAATGACAGCAGGTATTCTGTGCATGCTAAGGGCTGGGTAGGAGGGTTCTTGGAACAGGAAGACCACAATCCATGGGAGAGAGAGCCACAGTTACTCTTTGGTTCTTTACTGAACTCAAATCTAAACTTGTAATGGAATTAAGATAATGTTTTGGGAGGGCTTACTAATTAAAGGAGAAATGCATTTATGGTGCAGCAGTTAAACAATATAAAACAGGGGTGTGCCCCGCCCCCCACCCCCTTCTCCCCCCAGCAATCCTAGGCACAGAAAGAGAAGAAAATGAGAACAGCTGCTTTGAAAAGAAAAACTGTACTGGACTTTCTCTTGTCTCAAGGGCATGTATTTTATAAAGAAAAAAAATTATACAAAAAACAAAGCAATTGGGTGGGAGCTGGTCCAGCCTGACAGCCAGGGGCCATAAAAGGAAATTCCCTCCAGTCCCGGACTGCAGATCCAAGGGGCGGGGCAGGGGGCGGGGCTGAGGTCTGGGCTGAAGGCCTCCAGATGCCTTACTGCTGTGGTCACTTCCCGTGCAGGGGCTCTGGGCGGGTCTTGGAGCTGGTCAGGGATCTGGCCAACCCCTAGCCTCCTTAAATCCAGACAACAAGCCACAACTGATGAGGGTGGAGAGTGGCTTCTAAATTTACTGATCTTTCCACAGCTTGCCCTCATCTGCCAACACAGATATGCCAAAAGCTTTCCTGGAGATGGGTGTCCCCCGGAAGCAATTCCAACACCCTGCTTATCAATCATCCTTGCCTCCTAGCTATTCAATTTATGCGGAGACTAATCAGCCTCCAGCAGCAGTCAGTGGCCCCAAGACAACCGCCAGTCCAAGAGCAAAAGTATGGGCACCAAGGCTCTGTCCACTGTCACCTCAGGATCTGGACTCTACCTCAGAGATGCTGGCTGGGAACTAACCACTATTCCTCAGACCCAGTATTTATCCAGCGTGGGCCCTCAGACCCTGCACCCTCAAAGCAGCACCAAAGCCGGATTCCCTAATGCTCCCCAGACAACTTTTGGCAGCAGAGTCCTGCAGACTTAATAATGGTGTTCACTGGTTTTATCAAGCACCCTTTGAGAAATATGAAAAATAAACAAATGTACTTTGCAAAATATGAAGGATAAATTGTACACAGGACTCAGCCTTACCTCTTAAAACTTTCACATAGAAAAACTCCAAAGATTAAAAAAAAAAAGTATAACCCTTGCTCGGAAGCATCATCCCTACTGCTTTTCTTGCATCCCTGACTCAGACAATCTACTAGAACTTGATTGCATTATTTTCTCTACAGCCACACCTCTCATTCATTTTTCAACCTGCCACGAGTCGGCCACCTCAAGGGCAGGAGACAATCTACCTTTGCAGAGGCCTGTAAAGGAAAGCTCAGCACAGTGTGTCCAGTACATTCAGTACTTAAATGCATGGACCTAGGACGGTCTGCTATGCTATCTATCATTCCTCTGGAACAGCTCCCATCACGATCGTCGAGGGGAGTTACTTTGGAGCAGCCTGTACTACTGTTCCACTGAGCAGCAAGTGGGGACACTACTGCTGACCAAGCCCCTTTCATTGAAACCTCCTTTTCTGGAAGTTTCACCAACACACTTTACTCTTTCTCCTTTGACCCTGGGGGGTTGTTCCTTTCCGGTTTCAAGCTTCTCATCCCAGGCCCTTTGGTTTTCTATTCAGAACTCTCTTCTTCCTTCACACAAGTCTTCAAGTGTCATCTATATGCTAGTATCTCCCAAATCTGTGCCTCTAAGCCTCTCTCCCAAACCAGGAATCTGCATAACCAATGACCTGCTGAATTGTTATCATGCCCATCTTTCCAAGTGTCCAAGCCCAAATGCGCCTCATCATATTTGACCTTTTTCATTTCCCACAGCTGGACCCACCAAGTCTTCACCCTAAATATTTTTGGAATTCGGTCACTTTTCTTTTTCAACTGTTCCTATTCTAGTCTTAAGCCAGCACTGCTTCTGGAATAGCTTCCAGAAATCCATCTTGTCAGCGCTTCATAAAGTAGCCAAATGATACTTGGCAAGCGGTTAGTCTCGTCTTATCACTTCAAGTGTTTGCTGTTAGAATAAAGACCTGATGGCCTAAACATCCATGCTTGAGCTGCCTGACCCCTGCAGACCTCTCCCCCTTATCTCCTGTCATTCTCTACTTGCACCCAAAACTGCAGCCCACAGAAAAAGCATTTGGTTCTCCAGCCACATGGAATCCCAAACAATCTCTTGGGACTCTCCACTTTGTGTCTAGCCTCACAATCTTTGCCCATGCAGTTCACTGGGTCTGGAAAGGTCCCAGCAGCTTCTACCGGTAAAACTCGTTCAACACTGCAGATCCTGTGCCTCCAGTGGATGTACTTAACACGCATCACACTAGACGGCAAACCAGCCACCCCACCAGACATGACGACCCCACGTCCCCAAGAGAGGCAGGAATCTGGCTTTCTCCCTACCAGCTGCCTCAGCTCACCCCTGGTTGAGGTCGTTCTCGGTGTTGTCCAACCACAGGCGCACGGCAACCGCGTTGCCTTCCCGGCACTGAGTGAATATGTCGTCCATCGCAGTGTCCCGGCGCAGAGTCCCCTAGATTGGGTAAGCCTGGGGACTGTGGAGGGAACCCCAATATTTGCCCCCTACAAGAGGTAAGTGTTCCTGTTGGGAGCGGGTGTCTGGGCGCGGCGTCAGGGACGCCTGGGGTCGGGAAAGGAAGTTTGGGGAGCGGGGCGATCCCTGACTGCCCCCCGGGGGTGGGGAAAGGCGTGTGCAGTAGGGTTAGGGAACAGGCGGTGTTGTCTCCCGGAGGGATAACGTCGGGCAGGCACGGAGACCCCACGCGTGATTAGAGCTGGGCTGGGGGGCAGGAGTTAGAGAGGGACGGGCACCGTACACCCTGCAGGAGGGGATCCCCGGTGTGACCCCCGTTCCCGCCTCGGAATTCGGGCGGAGTGGGTGAGCTGGCAGGGCCTGGGTCTTGGGGAGGGGCGCGGGTGGACGTGTACTTACCGGGACTCGGGCTCGAGGCGCCTTCTCCGGGGAACTCCCGTCCGGCCGCGCCCGCCACCCGGCCCCGCCCCGGCCCAGGCTGTAGCGGGCCCGCGCCGGCAGCCCGCCCTCCCTGGCCCTTCTAGGCCTCGCTGTCGAAACTCGGTGGTTTCCGGAGCCGCGCCCGCCGCTCTAGCTGCCGCTAGCTTTCACTCTCTGGTTTCCGGCTCTTGGCCGCCTGGTGGATGCTGCGTCTCTCGGAGGCGCTGTCACACGTGGAGGGACGCGGGACCCCGGGGTTCCGCCCTCGCGGCCCGCATGTTCGAGGAGCCGGAGTGGGCCGAGGAGGCCCCTGTAGTCGCGGCCCTCGGACACGGACCCTCCCGGCCCGCGGCCGCCTCGCAAACCAAGGTGAGCGACCACTCAGGGACACTGGGAGCCGTCTCGGGCCTCGAAACGGACCGCTGGGGAAATCCCAGCGCCTGGGCGCGCCAGGTGTGTACTGGGTGGATAGGTGGGGCACCTGCCGCACCTCTGGAGGGGGTGGGTGAATATCTGGACACTTTTCAGAGAAAATAACACTGTAGCTGAGAGACGGCTACATATGAATGAGGAAAGTTGAAGCGAAGAGAAAAGCTCGTGTAAAGATGGCCCTAGACTAGAGCGCGTGACCTTTCCAACCCCAAATAAACACTGCCGGTTCACAGCGATCCCACTGGGACCACCTGCTCAACTCACCGCCATCTTTAGCGACCTTATAGGTCCCGGTCGAATGGCCTCCTTGGTTTCCTAGGCTGAGCAGAATGCCATACTTTCCTTCACAAAACAGCAGATGAATTCCAACTGTTGACCTTGGCCCAATGGGTCACTCACTAGCCACCAAGGCCCCTTGTGTATGATCTGTTAAAGAAAACCGAGCTGACTGCCCTGGAGGTCAATCTGACTCATAGCGACCCCATAGGGTTCCCCAAAACGTTGCCTGTGGTTGGAGCCCAGAGAGTGAGAAAAGGTAGTTGAAGCTGGAGAGGTAAACGTTTTGTATATCTCAAGGGCACAAGAGAAGCCAACGAAGTGTGCCTCGTGGGTGATCTGTTCAGATTTGCTTTCTGTCTGGAAAGACAGTTGCTGACAATGTGGAGAGCGGATTGTAGAGAGTGGCAGTGCTGGCAGCAAAGGGTTCTGAATATGACCATTCAACGAGGATTTGCAAGATGAATGCTGGGTCTCAGACCACCCAGCAGGACGTCACCTCTCCTGCTGTAGGCCTCCACCTTGGAGCCTTTGCAATGTGGAGCTGGTGTACTTACTTCCTCACATTCCGCCTTCCCATGCCCTTCATTGTATGCACAACATGGACTTTGCCCATCTGACAGCTCCTCCTTTATTCCCTCAACTCTGCCACGACCTGGACCACCGTTCTTCTGCCTGGCCACTTGGAACACCCTCCTCACTCAATTTTCTGCCGGTAGTGTCTCTTCAGTTTGTTCTTGACACTGCAGCCAGAGACTCCTTTCATGCACACACCGATCCTGTGCTCAGAAACTTTCTGTGAATCTCTGTTGTAGAGCAGCAGCATCACCCGCGGAGAGCAAAAGTCGTCACCTTAGCACATTCCCCTGGGGGGGTGGGCGGGCGGGCGGGGGAGACACATCCATGATCTCATGTGCACATTGAAGAAATGGGAGTGGGTGGTTTCTATGCCATCCACCCCCAAAGGTTGGGATTGGGACATGATTATCCTCCAGAGTCTGGCAGGCTTCCTAAGCCAGCTTACTTGGCTAGGAAGAATCCAGGTATCTCTGCCAGTGTCTGAATCAAGCCTCTATCTCGCCCTCCTTGCCCTTCAGAACTGGTCCATCTCTCTTACCCTGCCCCCATCCTTTTTTTACCCCCCAGGGCTCTAAGCACAGCCAGCTCTTGGCCACCTTACGGGCCCTGGAGGCTGCATCTCTTCCTAAGCAACTCCCCAGCCTACCTGGCAGTGACTCGGAGGAGGAGATAGCACAGAAGAAAAAGCACCCAAAAAAGGCCTCATTTGCTAGTGCCTCTGCTGAAGTAGGGGGTAAACGGAAGGGATGCCAGAAACAGGCTCCAACTGAGAGTGACTTTGAGGATGAGGAAGTGGAAAGAAAGAAGAAAAGCTGCAAGAAAAGGGCCCTTCTTGACAGGGACTCTGTTGAAGAGGAGACAAGAAAGAGGAAGTGCCAGAAACCAGCCCCTTCAAACAGAGCCCAGCACATAGACAATGTGGAGCAAACAGGTACTGTTGGCTATGTACGTATATTTGTGGGGAGGTCAAGGGAGACTCGCTTATCCTACATAGGGCAGAGGCTACCTGCCACCATTGGGACTATCCTACGTAAGACAAAGGCTACTTGCCACCATTGGGACTAGCCTTAGACCATGAAAGTACTTTCAGAGGCCTCAGTCAAGGTGGTTATACAACACGAACAGTGTAATCACTACCACTGAATTGCACAGGTAGAAAATGTTGAATTGGTGAATTTTTTGCTCTAATTAAAATAATAAGAGACAGGACCGATAAATGGCTTGCTAAGTGTTCTCTGCAAGATCTTGCCCCCAATACACCATCCCTTCCCCCTACCTGCAGGCCCCAAAGCACAGAAAGAGCATGTTACAAATGACCCGCACAAGTCAAGCACTGAGGCTACTTCTCAGCCACCTCATAGCTTGAGCCGCAAGCAGTGGCGAAACCGGCAGAAGAACAAGCGGCGACACAAGAACAAGTTTCGGCCTCTGCTGCCACAGGGCCAGGCTCCAGGCATGGCCCCTTCGGAAGAGGCAGAAGTGCCTCCTGCTCCCAGGCCAGACAGCCATGAGGCCCGGGCGGGAGCGCTGCGAGCCCGCATGGCAGAGCGGTTGGATGGCGCCCGATTTCGCTACCTCAATGAGCAGCTGTACTCAGGGCCGAGCAGCGCTGCCCAGCGCCTGTTCCAAGAAGACCCAGAGGCCTTTCACCTCTACCACCGGGGCTTCCAGAACCAAGTCAAGAAGTGGCCACTGCATCCTGTGGACCGAATCATCAAGGATCTGCGCCAGCGGTGAGTGGGGGGGTGGAGTAGGTGGGTGGGGGCACTGTGAGAAGTAACGTGGGTCAGCCATGGACCCACTCACCAGGCCAGTGCATGACCCTTTGCTCCCACACCCAGGCCTCCATCCCTGGTGGTGGCGGACTTCGGCTGCGGGGACTGCCGCTTGGCTTCAAGTATCCGGAACCCTGTGCACTGCTTTGACTTGGCTCCTCTGGACCCCAGGGTCACCGTGTGCGACATGGCCCAGGTAACCACCTCTGTGAATCTGGTCTTTGCTCTAGCCCAGGTGCTTATCTCTTTGAAGCCCTTGCTTTCCTTTTTCTGCTGCCCTCCGAGGTGCCCAACTGTGGCGCTCAGTGCTGGCGTCATACAAGGCCTTCCCTCCACAGGTGCCGCTGGAGGATGAGTCTGTCGATGTGGCTGTGTTCTGCCTGTCACTGATGGGAACCAATATTAGGGACTTCCTGGAAGAGGCAAACCGAGTGCTGAAGCCAGGGTAGGAGCCCCCTAGACACTGGCACATGTGTGTGTGTGTGCATGTGTGCATGCGCACCCTCGTGCACAAGAGCTCTTGAATTTGTACAGAACTTTCCCCATCCTTCCCAGGGGTCTCCTGAAGGTGGCTGAGGTCAGCAGCCGCTTTGAAGATGTCCGAGCCTTTCTGGCGGCTGTGTCCAAGTTGGGCTTCAAGGTCAACTCCAAGGTGAGGGCTCCAGGAAGTCTTAACCTGTACTTTTGCATTATGTGTGGTCCTTGTTGGAGGCTTGGTCTGCAGGATGGAGGCCATGAGCACAGGCACAAGCACTTGATCTGAAGGCACAGCATGGGAGGGAGGAGCCCTGAAGCTTCTGAACAGGGCCAGGAAATGGAGGGGAAGGATGGTAAGCAACTAGGATGAGCTCACCAGGTCTTCTCTTCCCCCTAGGACATAACCAACAGCCACTTCTTCCTGTTTGACTTCCAAAAGACTGGACCCCCTCGGGTGGGAACCCAAACTGAACTCTCAGGCCTGAAGCTTCAGCCATGTCTCTACAAGCGCAGGTGACCCCTGGACCACCTTGAAAGGGAGGCAGGCTTCGGACTGATAGCTCAGAACCTTGAAAACTATAGCCAATGATGCTGTGAGCCAGGCCCTGGGTCTACCCTGCCCCCAGGTCAAGAACAAAGGCCCTTGCCCAGCTCCTGGTTTCATGGAGGCTTCCTTGGTTGAAAGAAGCAGAAAGTCAAACTGGGTAAAGACTAAGGGGCTTACTCTGAGAATACAGGGAAGTCGAGGAATCATGGATCTCCTTAAATTTTGCGGAAACTAGAGCTTTGGGATTCAGGGCTACTCTGAATGTAGGGTCTCTCCCGAGCCACCTGGCTATCTGTCTTGCTGTCTTCCTTCATTCTGTACCCCTCCGATCTCTCCGCAGACCAGCTCCTCTGGCACGCACGGGTTCTCTTCCTTCAGCTTCAGTCCGCCAGGTCTTCACGGCTGTAGACAGGCAGGTGTTGCTTCTGAAGCTCCTGGCAGCCCACCAACGTCCTGGCTCAACATGCCAGCCTGGGCTCCTGGATGATGCGACACTCTCCACAGCGGAGTGGTTGGTCACAGCCGCCTGACTTTTCCCTGCACTGTGCACTTCAAGCTGTTCGTATCCAAGTCAACCACTCCTAGCGCCGAGTTTCCTGAGAGTGTGCATAACCGAGTACAGATGTCGGAGCCAAGTAGACCTGGGTTTGAATCCCCACTTGCTACTTAGAGCTAGGAGTCCCTTAATCTCAGATGCTTCCGTGCCAGATGCTTCGTTGGAAAGTGGTGAAGACTCTTGTTTATGGGTTGGTGTGGGCTCACTGAGAGAATCTGTGGCCCTGGCTAGAGGCATGGGAGGGGTTCAATAAACCCTAACTGTGCCTATCATATGTTGTAATCCTTATTGTTCTTCAAGGGCTGTCTACTCCGGAGTGGAGGTGGAGGTAAGAATGGATTTGCTGGCTGAGGAAGACTCCAGAAGAGGTCGGGGACAGGCCTCTTCCATAGGTTCCTTTCATAAGCTTCAGCAAGTTCATGGAGAAATCCCATTATCTTTCTGTTCCATTTTCCATGAACTTTGTGTTTATAGACTTGTGATGGATTCTGAACTGTCCTTGGAGGGGAGGTGGCTGATGGAGGAACTGGGTCTCAGTTAATAAATTGCTGGGTGATGCCATGTGTGAGTCGAGGACATTGGGGTGTTCATTGGCCAAAAGGGTATGTCCATTTCTTCTCAGGACGACACATCCCGGGCAAGCTGTGGGCAAGGAAAGCTAGTGCTCAGAGTAAGAGGAGTGGGATGATATACCCCCAGGCCTCCCCCAGAGTAAGTACATCTGCCATGGGGTAAAGACGCAACCTTTCATCCACAAAAATAAGAACTGAGTGGCCACTGGAAGGATAGAGCCAGCAGACGCCTCCAGTTAAGGGACAGCAGATTTTAGGACAGACTAGGCTAGAAGGCAAAGCTGGGGACTGGACTGTGAACCATTCGGCAGACAATGCACTTTGCCTTTCCGTATACTGTTTGCTGAAATACAGTCGATTCTCATTCACAGTCGTTGTGTTCAGTAAAGTCTCTGTGAACACTGAATTTCTGAAAGGTGATGCCTTGCTCCTAGAGGAAATACAGGGTTAGGTTCCGACTAACTTCTAGTCACGTTTCATATGAAACAGCTTTGTTAGTATGCAGGTTTCTATTTAAAGGTACCGTATAATATTCTGTTTTTAAAATAAATTTCAGACCATCTGGAGTTTTGTCTGCTGTTACTTTCTCTAACATGTGAGCATGTTTCATACCATACGTACACACACACACACACACACACACACACACACACACGCATACATATGAGGGACTTCAAAAACGTCCATAGAAAATGGAGTTAGAAGATAAGACGGGAAAAAAGCCCTATATTTTGGAAGCTAAACTCCATCAATGTCAAAACACTTCTAAGTGGTGATACTAGTCCAATCCTTAATGAATCAGGAGTTGGACCTTTTTGATCCTGTCTTTTTTTTTTACTTTATTAACAGAGAAAAATGGGTGCCCTTGAAAGATTTTTTCTAAGATTATCAAATGAGTCTGATATAGTTAAGGCAGGGCTATAGAAGGATGCCTAGTGACAGCCCATTGAAATTCTTGCAAAATTGCCCTTGTTCGGTGAAAGAGAAGCAGGAGCAGCTTGTGGGGGAGAAGGACTCTAGTGAAATTTCCCCAGGTATTTTTTTACTAAAGTATTGGCTGACTTTCTCTAAATTCTCAGATATTGTTATTCTTTGGCAGTATTCTCAGACAGTAAATAAAGTGCCTTGAGCATCCCCTGGCCCATGACCTTTGCTCTGAGTTGGTCCACTTCTGTTTTCCTGGACCACTCCTGCCTCTTGGTAGCCATTACTTGGATCGTGCTTGGTGTTTAGGATTGTACTGGTAAGGCCATATTTCCTGTTATAATTCATCCAAGAAGCACTCCAGGATCTAGATCCATCCCACTGTACAAAACTTTCATTGGAATGTTCTACTCTTGTCTACCGCTGATCTGGTTGGTACCCATCCAGAAGAAAGTTTGTTTTAATTATTCAATCCGAATTGTTGAACCAATTGAAATATCTATGATGACCATTGTTTCTGCTGTTACCTGTCAATCCTTTTCAACTAGGCGACAACAGAATTAATTGTTCCTTCATTGATGAGGATGGTCTGCCACTATGAGCCTCACCTACAGAATCTTCTTAACCCTTCCTAAAATGAGTTATCCATCTGTAAACTGCTGCTTTCTCTGGGGCATTGTCTCCGTGAATGTTTCATGAAGCATCAAAAATTTCACCATTCTTCCACTGAAACGTCATCATAAATTTGATGTTTGTTCTTCAATTTTAGCAGAATACATGTTGCTCTGATAGGTGTTATTTTCCTTTCAAACTGATGTCTTTTTTTTTTTTTAATCATTTCATTGGGGGCTCGTACAGTTCTTTTCACAATACATACATGTAGCCATTGTGTCAAGCACATTTGTACATTTGTTGCCATCATTTTCAAAACATTTTCTACTTAAGCCCCTGGCATCTGCTTCTCATTTTTCTCCTCTGCCACCCTTCCTCCCTCACGCACCCTTGATAATTTATAAATTAATTTGTCATGTCTTACACTGATCGATGTCTCCCTTCACCCACTTTTCTGTTTGTTCCCCAGGGAGGGGGTCATATGTAGATCCTTGTGATTGGTTCCTTTCCCCCTCATCTTCCCCTTGCCCTTCTCATATTGCTACTCTCATTATTAGTCCCGAGGGGTTTATCTGCCCTGGAGTCCCTGTTTCCAGCTCTTATCTGTAGCAGTGTACATGCCATGGTCTAGCTGAATTTGTAAGGTAGAATTGGGGTCATGATAGTGGGGGGGAGGAAGCATTAAAGAATGAGAGGAAAGTTGCATGTTTCCTTGGTGCTACACTGCACCCTGACTGGCTCGTTTCTTCCTTGACCCTTCTGTAAGGGGATGTCCAATTGTCTCCAGCTGGATGGACTTTGGGTCTGTACTCCAAACTGATGCCTTATCCTTAGTGCTTCAAACAAGATCCTATTCAGACACATTATAACAAGTGAGTAAGAGTTTATTTTGGTGGAAAAATTTGAAATCCATAGGTAGCTTTTTCATTATATGCCTTTTCCATGAACTTTTTGAAGCTCCTTCATATTGTCATTTCATGTACGTTAACTTTTCAGCTAATAGCACTGTAACTTCGCCTGAACAAGGTTTATCTAACACATATGGCATGGCACAGCCTAGTTGTGTTTAGGACACTAGTGAACACACCCACACGGTACTTCGGAGCTATTTTAATCAGTGAAATCAACAAAGAGCACAAAACTGCCAAACACATGCCACTAAATAGATCACAAGAAGATAATGTGTTCACAGTATGAGCTGAAACAAGAAGGCAGAGGGTAGTCTGGGTAGACTGGAGAAACATGGGGACTCATGTGAATAGAGAAGAGCTTTATATACAAGAGCAATTGAACATTGAGAAAACGTCCCAGCCCAGTCCAGATCAAGTCCATAAGTCTGATATTAGCCCATATGTCCGACACCAATCTATAAAGTCCTCTTCAGATTCATAAAACACATGCAATGATGCTGAATGCAGGACGATCACAGGCCAATGGGTGGGAAGTCTTGTAGATCCAGTGGCACTGTAAGCATCTCAGTACTGGCAAGGGTGTCCACATGGCTTCTCTAGGTCTAGGGTTCTGGCTGCATCAGGGTAGGTCCATGTGGCTTCTCAGGGATATCTCACAGGGAGTGAGCAGAGGGCGAGGGTGTCTCCCACCTCCAAGGAGGAAATACAGTACTACCCAGAATTCGCAGGAGAAGGCCATGTGAACACAGAGGCCTCATTGGTTATATCTTGATTGACAGGCCAGACTCCACCCCTTCACTCGTAATCCTCTAAAATTGACACTAGATTATGTAACTACCACACCTTGTCAGTCTCAACTGAGAACATGTGCGATTGAGCCACTCAAATGTTTTTTTTAGTCAATGCATGGTTGCAAATTACCTTGAAAGGGCCATGAGTACTGATGTGGGGGTTCGAAATTGTGTGGTTAAAGTAAGGAATCATAGCACAATGGTGAAGCACTCAGCTGCTAATCACAGGTCAGCTTTCACCCCAGCAGGCACTCTGGAAGAAAATACCTGGTGATCTGTTCCCCTGCAGATCTCAGCCTCGGAAGCTATGGAGGTCACTGTGGGTTGGAATTGACTCAACGGCACCTGACAACAGGCAGTCTCACAAATAGGGACTTCGTGAACGATGTACCTACCTGGGCAGAACTTTATTCACCCTTTCTAACAGCCTAATGGTTTGTTACTTCCTCATTTTCAAAGCAGAATTCGTTTTTCATCAGAACTCCCAAAGCACTATGGGCAGAGTGCTCCTGCAGCATTTAATACTGGCTTGTGTTTGCTTTAGGTATCAGACTGTGAGGTGCTTGGGCCTTATTTATCGTATTCCCAGAGCTCAGGCACTTGCTCACCTAAGCGGTGATAAGGGATGCCTGGGTCCGATTGATATTGATGAGAGCAGAGGTGTTACAGCAGCGGTTCTCAACCTGACAGTCAAGACCCCTTTGGGGTTCGAATGACCCTTTCACAGGGGTTGCCCAATTCATAACAGTAGCAAAATGAGTTATGAAGTAACAATACAAATAATTTGATGGTTGGGGGTCACCACAACATGAGGAACTGTATTAAAGGGTCACAGCACTAGGACGGTTGAAAACCACTGTGTTACAGGAACCTAGAACAAGGTGAGGGCACTGTTGACCAGTGGCGATGGAAGGCATTGAGGTTGACAGGAGAATATTCGTTGGTGGAACTGGTTGGGTATTGGAAGGTGATGAAAGGGAAAGGAGTCTGGGGTAAGTTTCCGATTTCTGGCGTGAGCAATTGGGTGAGCTGGTGATGCCACTGACAGCAAGAAAACGTAGATGCTGTTGCAGGTGCACACTGGAAAGTAAACATCCAAGTCATAGGAGAGGTTTGTGGTAGGAATTGGGAAGTGATCAGCTAGTGATGGCAATTAAAGTCATAGGAGTGGATGAGCTATCCAGAGTAAGATGACGAGTCGACACAGTGGCTGAGAATATAACTCCAAGTAGCATTTAGTGCATAAGTAATGGAAAATTCATGTGTAAAAGTAGAGGAAGATTAGAAGGTGGGTCAGAGATAGAGGAAGATTTTTTAAAAAAACATTTTATTAGGGGCTCATACAACTGTTATCGCAATCCATACACACATCAATTATGTAAAGCGCATTTGTACATCATTCTCAAAAAATTTTCTTTCCACTTAAACCCCTGGCATTAGGTCCTCATTTTCCCCTTCCTCC